CAAGCTTTATTGGTGGGATGCTCAGATGTATTACAGGCACACAGAGCAATTCCACTTTGATTTTCTCGCTTTCTTCAGGTCTCTGGTGTCCATAGCAAGGCACTGCTCATGGAACCACCTTTCACACATTTCACATTGGATCTACAAAGGACAAGGTTAAAACTTCAAAGATGATTGTCAGGGTACTCTCACAACATAAGACCTTTTTCAACAAATGAAGAAAACAACATAGTCCCAGTCTCTGTTTACACACACACACACACACACACACACACACACACACACACACACACACACACACACACACACACACACACACACACACACCTCTGCTCATACTAGATTTCCATTTCTACAATAAACAAGTCACAAGAACAAAGACTATGACAGTGTCATTGGATTGGACAGATTACCAACATCATTAATTTTTCTAACTGGACAAACTGTGGAGGTGGACAGCCACAAAAGAATCATCCTGATAATTCATTCATTTTAATAGACCCCTTTCTGTCTTTCATCTTGGTCAGCTGGTTGTTCTGTTGTTCGTTTCTAAGCTTCTGTAGGCATAGCCTTCAGGTTCCCTGCTTTTACTACCGTGTTACATTATAGGTCTACTGTTTTTTAATTAAAGGTTATTTCATCTGTATACCTCCAAGGATGTCAACATATGTGACAATAATATATCAGCGTTACAAACATTGAATTACATTTTGACTGAGACACTTTCATAGGTTTAGAGAAAAGGTACAAGGTTGTTTATTAGTCATTTTACAGCACTAGGCTACATAACAAAATTAAATTTGTAGTTCATTCATGATACACACCCAACATATATTTAGGCCTATATTAAAATATGGTAATATATTAATTAAAATAAATCAATATATAGGCTACAATTAGGCTATTTATATAGGCTACATAAATAGCCTACATACACGTATACATCCATCTTGACTGCGTTTGAGCACCAAGAGTAATCGATGTAAGAACACCTCCTCGGAGTCTTGCACTGATAGCTTTAATTTGGCCCATGGGCTGCCTCTTGCCGTCCACTGCTGTATGTGAATCAAATGTGAGACCACATTTTGAACAAAAAGCGCAGGTTGGCTTCACATTGGCCCCTGTGAAAGGGCACTAAACTAGAGTTGTTAAAAGTTGAAACAGGAAGTTTCCTTTTTACGTCAATTTGAATCTTGGCGAATAGTGAAAATATTACACACTTTCAAGGGCTGTTATATTAAAACCAAAAAACCTGATCTGTATTGGATTTGGACCACATATGAAAGTGGCTGTTCACACTAGGGCTGGGCGATGTCTACAAAATTTCCATCGGATGATGGCTACAATGAAACATTGGGATGGACATCACTTGGTAAAAAACTAATCCTATTATGTTACAAGTCGCCGTGGATATTTTACAAGCATGAACAGTGAACAGGTTGTTTGACAGTCTACGTCATTAACAAGCCGGCATGCATTGCACCTGCTGCCATGATAATGGATCATGGGTGGAAAACTCTGCAAAAAAGAAAGAGAAAGTGGAGCAGACAGGGAGTGAGAGAGACAGAGACAGGCGGGGCAAGCCGGAGTGTTTACCTGAGGTGTAGGTGTGTGTGAGTGTGGGGAGACGAGAAGTCCGAAACAGGTGTTCAATAGGTATATTTAAAACTAATATTAATGTTCTTGGGGATTAAAACCTGCTTTCACAGGGTGGTGTAATGTAAAACATCATGGGGGGGGGTGTAAAGCAGCACAAAATATCATTATATGCTGATGATATCACTCTACCTATGTAATCCTGTTAACCGAGTTCTTGAGCTTATTGACATGTCCTCTACGTTCTTTGGATACAAGATTTACTAGGGCTGCATGACTTGGAGAAAAAGTCATATTGCGAGTATTGTGGACAATATTGCGAATTGCGATTGCAATTTGATTATAATGGAACAAATGGTACTATGAGTCTACTTGTTTAAAGAGGTGGTATTATGCTCATTTTCAGGTTCATTAATTAATTAGGGGTTGTACCAGAACAGCATTGCATGGTTTAATTTTCACAAAACACCATATTTTTCTCATACTGCACATTGCTGCAGCTCCTCTTTTCACCCTGTGTTGTACGCTCCGCTCTTGAGCTACAGAGTGATGCATCTTACTTGTACAAAATCTTTGTTGGGAGTTGCACATGCGCAGTTCCCAGGTAAGGACTACTAGCCAATCAGAAGCAGAGAAGGGCGGGTCGTAAGAAACAAGGTAGTGTGATCCAAATCAAAGCCCCTTCAGACTGCGACCGTAACCTAGCAGATGGTAGAAGTTACTTACAAGTCCACAACCACACAACATCATTGTTCCACATCTTACCATTAGGACTGAACGTTGAACTGGTGCTGGTGCCGAAAAATGCTACCATACATGTAAAACATAAAACTTTCTGTTGCTGGCCTCTGTCTGGTGCAGCAATGATGATGCAGTGAATAGTGAATATTCTCTCTGACCAATCAGCAGTCTGTCGTGTTTTCACGTTACATTTTAGTATCCCTCAGCTCGCTTGGAACCTCGACGGAGGTGAGGTGATACGAAAAAAAGTACCTGGAAGCAGGTACAGGTGCAACTTTTCTACAATAGAAAAACCAAAACAGGCGAGTTGAGCCAAAGGGCCTCCGCTCAGACTAGCTTGGTTAGAGGGTGTGCCTGACCCCGCTAGCTGCTCGGCAAGCTTTATGACACGTTTTCATTGTGATGTCACAAGTAAAGGAAGTGAAGGGCTGGACTACAAACGAGCTGTTTTCAAGCAGTTCAGAGCAGAGCTTTCTGTGGGAGATGGGAACTCCCTTTGGGCTGGACTTTGGGCTTTTTCACTTTGCAAACCTATTACATGCACAAAAAAGAGATATAACTCAATAAAGGAGAGGGGAAAAGACAAAAAGCAGAATACCACCTCTTTAATTATCAAGGAAAATGCATAAAATACTGACATTTTGAAATGTGTATTTCTCAACAAAGTTAAACAATAAACAATATTTATAAATATTTGTAAAACAGATTGGCACACTGGTCTCTATCCAGAACCTGGAGGAGGAACTGTACATGAGTTTATTAAATAAAGAGTATAATGTTTAGTTAATAGTTTACTGTTAGTATAACAATAATATATTAAATATACATTCATTAGAATTTCATATAATAGTATAGGCTACTTTTTTTACCACCAGTTGAATATTAAATCCAGTTACAGCTGTTTCATTTCTGTGGGGGTTTTTTATTCATTAAATCGTTGTGCAAGCGAAAGGCTCTACATCGGTCTCTAATTTGTTAATGCAAAAGTACTAACTTGTCAATAATAATATTGTTGACATTTATGGTCACGGTGGTTACGGTAGGTTGTTGTCTTAAAGGTTACTCGCACACTGCTCATGCTTATCTGTTTTTAGAGGCCCATGCGAGAGCCCATTGTGGGCGGAGATAATGAGCAGACCGCAGCGCACACAATAGAGTGTCACACAATACAGTATCACACAATCTTTTTCCGTTTTATGAGCTCGCACACTTTTTGCGGTTATGTAATTGCACATGACGACATCACGATTGCGATTAGATTAATCGTGCAGCCCTAAGATTAACTACTCAAAATCTGAGACAAGGTCTCCCTCCAAGCAGGATCCACTGATGCTTCTCCTATTGGATGGTCTCTATCAGGGTTTATTTAGCCATCCACATTATCCCTGATTTGTATAAGGCCAATTTTACTCCTTTAATCCAGCGTCTATAGCGGGAACTAAAATGTTCTACTACGCTTATTATATCCATTTCATATGGTCCCTATATCATGATCACGTACTGAAAAGCATGATCAGAGTTGAATAGTGTTAGCCAGTTAAATAGAAGCATTAGGAGATCTAGACCACGTGTTTGGGTAGTTAATTATGGTACCGATGTCAAGTCCATGTATCCTACAATAAACGGCCACATACTGCATCAACTGCTCAATTCAGAATTGGAATAATGAAATAGCCCTGCCTACATTTCACCAAAATGCCACATGACGTAACCTCCGCAGGGGAGTCGATACAGCATGACACATGAAGGCACAAGGGGGAGTCAAGGTTATTATCGTTAACGATGATGAACGAAATAACGAACACTAGATGTGAAAAAACATTGTCATTAACTGAAATAAAAATAAAAACGAGGCTTTACAAAAAGACAATAACTAACTAAAACTGTATTGCAGGTTTGCAAAACTAACTAAAATGAAAGAGAAAATGTCCTTAGTTTTCATTTATTTATTTATTGATTGATTTTATAGGACCTAATAAGCCTACATTTCGAGAGGACATGAAGCCGGGGGAACTGACTTTGCGGGGCAGTTGGTCTGGCCGGACCTATGCGCCAGACCGGCGGTTCCGCATGAAGAGCTGGCACGCTGCGTGTCCGTCAAGAGAGCCCAGGTTCAGGGCGGCGTCTGGCTGCAGTGTAGCAGGTGGCGACTGTTGTTACGAGGAGAGCTCCATGTAACGTTAGGCTAACTTAGACAACTTACAAAATAATACGAATGCAGCAACTGTATAGATATGTTTTGTTTAGTTCGGGTTGCAGGTAGTCACTGTCTTGGTGGTTTCTTCTCCTTGTTTTGTTCTGTTCTGATGGTCTGGCTTAGTGCTCATCCTGCGTGTGGGATAAACTTGCCCTTTGCCCAATGACTGTGAGCTCCCCTAGCACTGGGTTAATGTGTCTGCTGGTCATTATATTCACTGGATGTCAGCTAGTGTGCGTTTATGGGCTCATTGATATGCTTAATGTTTGGGCCCCTACACTTGTATTTTGATGTTTGGCATCATCCAGCGACAAAGACTAAAACTAACACTGAAACTAATAAAAAACTAAACTAAACTAGCAAACGTTAAAAACTAATTAAAGCTAAACTGAAATTGAAAACAAAAACTCAAAATGGAATGAAAATAAAAACTATAATAAGCTTGGGGGGAGTGGGTTGTGCTTACCTGTGTGGATTTATCTTTCATACAAGATGGATAGCGCACATGGGGGTCACAAGGCCACTGCCCAGTGAGGTAGGGCCCAGTGATAGTGCCCAGGGAGGAAGTCCACCAAATGGCCCCTGAGCTCCGCACCTGCTGGGAGTTTGCCCTTTCAACTGCACAGATAAAAAGAGAAGACAGAGAGAGAGCAACATTAGCTCAATGTAATAATAGAATATAATAGAATTATCACCTCAATCTACACTAGGGCTGAACAATTTTGAAAAAAACATCTAATAGTGATTATTTTGACCGCCATATGATTTGCAGAATAATCATTTTTACATAATTATTCTGATTACCTGTGGAAAAGCTCTGATGAACCCACTGTGAACTGACCACAGACAGAGATAGCACTAGCTTGCGAGTAAAGTCGAACGCTCTGTAAGCCAAGGCCCCTCTCCACCGGCTTCAACACTCTGTGGTGGTGAGCTGTCATTGTTCACGAATTATCATCAGCAGATCAGTCTTACGATGGAGCATTACTGGCATTTGTGTTATTTTTTTTTTCCTAAATTGACCAATATTTTTTTGTGTGTTTTCCCTGCTGTACCAAAAACGTACAGAACTGTGACCCTAAAACTGAGGTACATCCCGAGCCGTGACTTTTGCGTACCATTATATCCGTACAGGCTTGTGTTTTCACAGACAATGCATCTGTCTGTACAGTATTGTGTGTATCTCAGAGTAAGTAGCAGTAATATTTACACCCTGAGAGCGTACACACAGTAGCGATCATGTAAAAAGAATGTTAAATGTTCATTAAATGTCCACATCTGATTAGCCACTGTTAAAGAGAATAGATCTGTTGCTCTAGTACCCTTTGAGTCCTTCAACAAAAATGTTATCTCATTGCACTTTTCATATAGGAGGGTTTTTTGGCTTGGTTTTCAGGACAGGATCGGTCAGGATCTAATGTTAATTAATGTTCTGCGTTCTTCTACACATCCAAAAGGTCTCTTACACAGTCCAGCTTCAAACAGTGAAGCTGTTTGGAGTAAAGCAGCCGTCCTCCTGTTTGATCCTGAGCTCCATCAGAAAAAGCCAAATTCTGGAGTTTCCTCTCTCCTGTCAAATTTATAACTACAGATTTTAGTTTTGCTGCTTAAATGTCACATGACATTTGCTGTGACATTTCTTTAAAATTACTGACAGCAGCCTCTAATCATGGGGGCAGTGTCCTTGGGCAAGATACTGGACACCAAATTGCTTCCAACGTCTGTTCCATCAGTGTGTGTGGATGCAGTTGGCAACTTAGCATCTGCCTCAGTGTGTGAATGTGTGTGAAAGGGTGAAGGTGACAAAGTGTAAAGGGCTTCCAATCCACGCATCACTTACAGCAAATCATCCATTTTTTCTCCCATCGCATAGGCCCTTTCACGCTCAGGGGTCTCTATTGCCCATATCATAGATCTGGCTCCAATTATTGGTTCTTTTTAAAGAAAACACATTATTTAAAAAAGGAATACATTCAGAGCAGGATAAGAATTGCATCCATCCTTCGTCAACCGCTTATCCTGTGTACAGGGTTGCGGGGGGGTGCTGGAGCCAATCCCAGCTTACACTGGGGCGAAAGGCGTACACCCTGGACAGGTCGCCAGTCCATCGCAGGGCCAGGATTAGAATTACATTTTTTAAATATGACTAAATGTTTCTAGAAGCAAAGTTTATGACACCCGGGTCGGCATTCATTAAGCTCCAACAATTGCCCAACTCTTCTGTCAAAATAAACACAAGTACAGTTCCAGTCACAGACCGCATTGTCTGTGGACAATGTTTTATAATAGGCTCATTGTTGCACTCTGATGGCAAATAACGGCCACATCTACCAATCCTATGCGTGCTCACACAATACATCATGCGGCCAATGTTCTTGTTGTAATCTTCTTGGCTTCTGGTCCAACAACAGAGAATCCTATTTAACAAGGTAGAGGGCTGGGTGACTTGCTATAAACCTCCAGGATTACAGGTACAGTCAAGAGACTAAATTAGACTTGCTCATGATCTTCCAAATATGTTAAGCAGCTCAACAAGGTACCAAAGAGTTGTATCGCAGGAAGAAAATCTCTCTTCCTTTTTTTTGGTCACGCTGTCTTTCTTCTAGTAGCCCCTCTTCAGGACTTTACTAGACCAGTACTTCAGTTAATCTACTAAAACTATGCAGCACATCGCACCCTGGCCACCATAGACATGATATTGGTTAAATCAACTAAGCAAATAAACCGCCATAAGGAACAGGCTGAGTATCTGAGGCTAGAAAAAATATTTTTCCCTCATTTACATTTATGGATATGTTACAGAGCAGTTGTTCTTTCTAAGTGGCACTAAAAGTTCAAAGAGGTCAGAGTTATGACTTGAGACAGTTGTAATAAAAGCGTTCACTGATTTGAATCTTTACTGGGGATCTCCCAGTGCAGTGATTCCACATAGGTCTCCCTATGTGGAAAATCCAAAATACTGTGGAATGTGCCAAAATGTTTTCCCTAGTATTAAATTTTTTTTTATTATATATTAACCATTTTTTAACAGCATTTTGGGCAAATGAACAGAAAAAAACTATACTGTTGTGTTTTGGTGTCATTTACGCTCTGTGTTTCACCGAGATTGGGGCTTAGCACCTCCTGCGCACACACGCAGGCATGCACGCACACACATGAAAAAGAATCTGAGAACAAATAAAACAGGTTTCATAAGGCCCTATTGGTATTGCTGGCAGCAGGCGGTTAATTCCTTTCACCTTGTATCCAAGGTGTAAATTATCCCTGATTACATAGGCTGTAGGGACACACGTGTGGTTACGGCACAGTGGGGTGAATCAAAGTCAACAGGATTTGGTTGCCTTTTGCATGAGAGGAAAACGTCTTCAAGCAAACCTCACCTAAGGCAAACAAACTCAACTAAATTTAGGGATGCACCGAATGTTGCAATGAAATTAAAATAGCAACAATACCACATTCAGTGTTCATTGTGCCTAATATGTAAAAAGACTGAATAAATTTTAGCGAACAATTATGTTGACATGCCAGCAGTGTGGGAGCATTTTAAAGTGTCTGAGAAAGACAGAAAATTTGCCATTTGCAGACACTGTTCTGCTGAACTGTCTCCCAGCACATCCACTCCATCTGTGGCTGACTTCTTAAAAAAGGCAACAAACGGTCTGAGCAGCTTTGAGTGTTTCTGTCACTCATTTGTGAGAAGGCGATTAAGCTAGCCGTACCTACATTTGGAGTGCACACGTATTCAAGCCTTTATGGTAAATCTACTGAAACAGACCAGTGTGAGCTGACAAGCAGGTTAGAGTATAAAAATTATTACATGTGTACATTAAAAGTAAATGGACACATGTAATTTACTTTACCTCGGACCCACCCACCATAGTCTCTCCACATCCTGTGGGAAACAGAGTAAAAAGCACATTTTGACTGTTTAATTAATGCAATGGTAAAAATATGAATGTACTTGTAATTTTTTTCATTATATTCGGTTTCGGATTCGACCAAGAATTTTCATTTCCCAACTGCAATACACTTGAACTCTCCTTTAATTCCAACTACCAGCTTTAAAACTAATGCAGGTATTAGTCAAATAATTCAATTCCATTTATTTTTATTTATATAGCACCAATTCATTAAATTCAGCTTTCACTGCACTTTTCATAGAGCACGTCTAGACCGTAGCCTTTGTAATATTAACTAAACCCTATCAGAAAAGCTACCATACGTAAACTATGTGGACATATGGGTCACTCTTTAATGTATTCCAAGACCTGCCCAATTCAACCAGCCACAACTTTACTTTTAGACTTAACAGAACATAGAAATGTATAACTACTGGCTACACAGCATGTCAGCATGTTGTTGGTTCTACAGTACATACCAAATTTGGATAGAGAATTACTAATCGTGATTGTGACCCTGCTGTCTCAGATAAACTCAAGCTCAAACATAAACTGGCCTGCTACTTCCTGCCCATTTCCCCATTTGATGTGTGCTTACATGACCCCAGTGTGCAATGACAGCTACAGTATGCAGCTGTCATTGCACCACTGAAGAGCAAGATAATCTCAGTGGTTTTTGGCATTCCAAAGAATTTGTCTTTTCTGTACAGGCCATAGACATGTGCAATATTTGACAGTGTTGACTGAAAATGTATGTGATAACATTTAATTATACCTCTCATTCTACCCTGTGAACTATCGGTTCTTTGCCCAGATTTCATTGCTATTTCTTTAAAGGTTTTGGCATAGTCACTGCATGTCTTAGCTGGTTAAACCATATGTTGTTATTTTCAGAATAAGCTGGGCTTGTTTTTGTGGGGGGAAAAAAAGTTCAAGGCAAAACTTTTTTTGCCGTCAACGCATTTTCAGTAGTTGTTAAATATCCATTCATTAACGGATAAAAGACTCGGTGTTCCAGGGATTTAAAACAATGTTGATGGGACATTCTTACTGTGTCTTCACACAGAAAACGAAGTGAAAGCTGCCTGATTACATACTAAGTCAATGGAAATACTCGAATAGACTTCTGACGAATAAACACCAGGATTCTGCTCTGATCCAGTCACTGACCAGCGGCAGGAACTCAAGAGTTAATTGTTGATTTTTTTTAATACTTTTTTTGAATTAAAACGTGGATTTATCTTCACTCTCACTTTATACAGAGACTGGTCAAAACAGGAGACTTCTTGGGAGAAAATTAAGCAAGGAAGTTGAACTACCTGGTAAGACCTGAAAATATGTGTCTGTTACTTGATTCTAGGGCTGAACGATAAATTGCAATATTATCGCGATGTATTAAAACGAGATTTTCTAATCGGCTAAGGCTGCGATTACACTCTGGTCACATGTAGGGCTGAAATGATTCATCGATTAAATCGATAAAATCGATTCATAAAATGCTTCAGACACAAATTCTTTGCATCGATGCTTCGTTTAATCCATGTAACTATACAGAACAGTGTTTTGCACAGACATTTATTACTGTCGCACGTCGTGTTCACAGCGTAAACGCGATGTAATTATGTCGCTGTTTGCAAAGTGGAGGAAGAGAGAGAAAACAGGAGAGACAAAAAAGAAAGTGTCCAAAGTCTGGGATTATTTCAAGCTAAAGAAAACAAC